GCCTGTTGTAGTTTTTCTACGAACTTTTTCTAGTTTTCAACTACTACTAAACGGTCAGCTCTAGGTACCACTAACGAAACCAACACACAACAAACCGTTCGCAGCTGGATCGAACCCAGCACTCCGGCATTACGAAGCTCGTTCGCAACACCTAAGCTACAGACGCCGACAAATAATATCACAATATCACACACAAACGAAAAGAGAACGTTGCGGCTACAAAGCCTTCATCAGCACATACATAAATCAAACACAACCACAGGAATACACAAAAATCAACTTAAATGACGTATCCCGAAGCAGCCACGTAGATGTCTTGCCAGTGATAGACTTATTGTAACAGCAAGCATTCGCGGCATTTGTTTTCACAGTTTTCAGTTCTCTATTATATAGAAATAATTTAAACATGAAATATATTTGTATTTATGGTCACTCGACATACACATATTAGCTTTGGGCCCTGTGCTCGTGCCCACCTCCTCCCCCGCCCGTATCAATTTCTTGAGGGAAGAGGAAGGGGGAAGGGGGGGAAGTGGTGAGTGCGTTAAGATGGCCCTGCTCAAATGAACAGAAAAGGAAATTCATGATAAAAAACGTTTGCATTAACCGGAGACTGCAAACATTAATAATCCTATATACAATACAACTGTGTTCATGTTAGCCAATTGTGCTTGTTAAGCCAGTTAGCGTTGTATGTACAGGTCCCTTTTCATGCCAGTGGCACATCGGGCATGGGCCAGACATGTTTTAATAGGCCAAAAGATCCTCGATGGATGATGTTGTCAACATCATGCCGACCGCCTTTATTTCCCAGAACTTTGTTTGCCTAGTACCCATTTAAGGCTGGGTGGAAATGAAAGTTAAGATCATATCTAAAAAAAATGTTGTGGCACCACTTGGAATTGAACCCACGACCTTTGAATCCGTAGGCGAGCGTCTAGCCACTACACTACAGCAGCTTCCCAAGTTCGTATTAACAGAGTTTTACTGTAATGATGAGTGCGTCAGGTTCAACGTTTGAAGATTATGTCAGCTCTGCTGTTAAAAAAGTGGAACAGGTAGAGATTTGTAAACCACTGGGCCATGACCAGTGTTGCCACTTTTGATGTTTTACATCCAGATTTAGATGTTTTTCCTTGCATTTAGATGGCGTTTTTGACGTTTAGCTGGTAGATGTTTTTCTATATGTCTTTCATTTGGAGTAAATTTATCAAATCTTACCCAAGCAACAGAATGAAATTTGACCTCCTAAATGCTATCTTGACAATAAAATTCGGCCTGATAAGAGTAGGAAAAGGCTGTTTCACTTATCAGCTCCCTGATTGTGTATTAAAAGAAACTGGAACAGCTAAAGCATACCAGAGCCATTTCGGATCTGAAGCTTCAACTTCATCATTTAATCTAAGTTTATCCTGTGGATCTTGTAAGGCAGACTTCAGTAAAGATGAGGACATGATTCTATAAGGTAAGTCATATCAATTGCTATGTAATTTGTGACTCTTGCCGTTTGGATGTTTTTTCTAGATGTTTTCCACGCAAATTTAGATGTTTTTAGATATTTTTTGACTCCATTTTGGATGTTTTTTGTTAAAGAAAAGTGGCAACACTGGCCATGACTGTGAAGTTATTGCACTGGTGACAGCTATACGAGTTGCCTTTTGTTTCACAAATTGTTTTGATAACATCATGCAAATAGTTTTTGACAGTCGTGTGTTTAACAACGATTTGGACAATGCTTGAACAATGTTTACATGATTATTATTGGATATTTCACATTATCCAAATAATTTACGCTCAGAATTGACAACCAAAGCCAATCTCGTAAGAATATTTTTTTTTTTTTTTTTTGTGGATGACTGTGCTACAAGTGCCAAACATGACACCCTTACTTTAACTAATGCACAGAAGATCGTGACAACAGAGATGAGATGTTTTATGAGAGCTGCCGGTGTGACAAGAAAAGATAAAATCAGAAATGAAGAAATTAGAAGAAGACTAGGACTGAAAATAGTCATACAATTCATTAAAGAACAACAACTGAGATGGTTTGGCCACCTGACGAAAATGCCCTGGTACCAACTGCCACAGAGAGGAATGCTGAAGAAATATAACGAACAGAGAGCAAGGGAAAGACCACGCAAGATATGGAGAGACGTCATCAGAAGCAACCCTAACAGAAATGAACACCAACGTGTACAACGCACTGGAAAAGCGTACAAACTATCTCTATCTCTCCCCCCCCCCCCCCCCCCCCCCCCTTTTTTTTCCCCCGAAACACCTCGCTGGGCTAAATAGCGGTAGAGAAGAAGAAGAAAAAGAAATATTGACTATATACAAACGTCTATTTACATACGTATCACACATACACACATATATAGATAAACAGATCCAAAACCGTCTGCCTGTCTGCCTGCCTATCTGTCTGTATGTCTATCTATCTATCTATCTATCTATCTATCTATCTATCTATCTATCTATCTATCTATCTATCTATCTATCTATCTATCTATCTATCTATCTATCTATCTATCTATCTATCTATCTATCTATCTATCTATCTATCTATCTATCTATCTATCTATCTATCTATCTAAATCTATCTATCTATCTATCTATCTATCTATCTATCTATCTATCTATCTATCTATCTATCTATCTATCTATCTATCTATCTATCTATCTATCTATCTATCTATCTATCTATCTATCTATCTATCTATCTATCTATCTATCTATCTATCTATCTATCTATCTCTCTCTATCTATCTATCTATCTCTCTATCTATCTATCTATCTCTTTATCTATCTATCTATCTCTTTATCTATCTGATCTATCTCTCTAATCTATCTGATCTATCTCTCTAATCTATCTGATCTATCTCTCTAATCTATCTGATCTATCTCTCTAATCTATCTGATCTATCTCTCTAATCTATCTGATCTATCTCTCTAATCTATCTGATCTATCTCTCTAATCTATCTGATCTATCTCTCTAATCTATCTGATCTATCTCTCTAATCTATCTGATCTATCTCTCTAATCTATCTGATCTATCTCTCTAATCTATCTGATCTATCTCTCTAATCTATCTGATCTATCTCTCTAATCTATCTGATCTATCTCTCTAATCTATCTGATCTATCTATCTATCTATCTATCTATCTATCTATCTATCTATCTATCTATCTATCTATCTATCTATCTATCTATCTATCTATCTATCTATCTATCTATCTATCTATCTATCTATCTATCTATCTATCTATCTATCTATCTATCTATCTATCTATCTATCTATCTATCTATCTATCGATCGATCGATCGATCGATCGATCGATCGATCGATCTATCTATCTATCTATCTATCTATCTATCTATCTATCTATCTATCTATCTATCTATCTATCTATCTATCTATCTATCTATCTATCTATCTATCTATCTATCTATCTATCTATCTATCTATCTATCTATCTATCTAATCTAATCTATCTATCTATCTATCTAATCTATCTGATCTATCTCTCTCTCTATCTATCTATCTATCTATCTATCTATCTATGTATCTATCTATCTATCTATCTATCTATCTATCTATCTATCTATCTATCTATCTATCTATCTATCTATCTATCTATCTATCTATCTATCTATCTATCTATCTATCTATCTATCTATCTATCTATCTATCTATCTATCTATCTATCTATCTATCTATCTATCTATCTATCTATCTATCTATCTATCTATCTATCTATCTATCTATCTATCTATCTATCTATCTATCTATCTATCTATCTATCTATCTATCTATCTATCTATCTATCTATCTAATCTTTCTGTATGTCGGTAGGTCTGTCTGTCCAATCAGCTTGTCTGTCTGTAGGTCTGTCGATCTGTCTGTCTGTTCTCGTTTACTGAAACACAACAAATCGCCTATCCTGGCGAGACAAACACCACTCCCTGCGACATCCATATGCATACCGCTAAGCACTTCACGTATCAGTAAATATCACGTGATCAAACCAAAAACGATCATTTATTCATCTAAAATTGCGAATTCGAAAGATTTCCCATCTATTTCTGCGTTCGAAAAGTCTTAAGCATACGGAAGCCTCATCAAGAGTGCGTCATTTCGGGTCTTTGCTAGCTCCATATTGAGCACACCCAGAAGAAACAGCTTTATCCCTTTTTGGGAGGTGTGCATATTCATGCAGCGCCCTTTGCAGGTCTAACGGATTCGGTTTCGAGTATTCTTGTTAAGAAAACTTTGTTTCGCTATCGACGACTGATCAAGATGCAGTCTTTTTTAATTTGGCCGATGACCCCAAGTGTCTTGGAGGTAATAGGATTTGGTGAGCCATGAAATTGTCGTTAACTTTGACATAATGAAATCGACAAGTTATAATGATGGACAGTTGGGCTGTAGCGGGGACGAGGTGACGTTTGGGGCCCTTTCATTTCAACAGATGCAGTTAATGCGGTGCTGTATGGGATGGGGTGACTTTTTGACGCTGATAATCGGCTTATTTACATAAACTGGGCATATCCTTGAGCGAAACTAGCCTCTTGTTTTTTTTTCCCTCTTCTATATAATGATATTTCTGTTTGTTGGTTGTGGGTATTGTAAAGTGAGTTCGAGAGCGTGTGTGTCTTTGTTTGTAAGGGTCTCTGTGTAAGTGTTAGAGTGCTCATGTATGTTTGTATGAGTATGTTAATGTTTGGATGATTTCATCATTGATGTACGAGTTTTTGCAATCGCTTTAATAATTTGACTGTCTTGCACTCTCTCTCTCTCTCTCTCTCTCTCTCTCTCTCTCTCTCTCTCTCTCTCTCTCTCTGTGTGTGTGTGTGTGTGTGTGTGTCTCGCTTTCTTTTTTTCTTTTGCCCCAGTCTCTTCACCTCTCTCGCACTTTGTTCTGTCTTTTCTCTTGAATTCTCCTCCTTCCCCTCTCCCTCAGTTACATTTATTTAACCACGATTTTGGTTCGATCCTCAGACGATCCTCAACTCCATGCACAAATACCAGCCCAGGCTTCACATCGTTCGAGCCCCGGATCTCGTCTCACTACCCTTTTCTGCCTGGAAGACAATCACTTTCGAGGAGACGGCCTTCATCGCTGTTACAGCCTATCAGAATGAGAAGGTAATGGGGGAAGCGGCAGTAATTGTGATTTGTTACGTTCATATTTTGACTCAGGAAGTGCTAAATACAACATAAAATGTGACTAGAAATCTCAAAGGAGGAAATGGAAAAGACAGGCAAAAATACAGACGCACGTTTCGACCAGCATGTTTTCTTAAGGTCTCCCTCTGCCTCTTTCCTCCTCCAACTTTCCTATTGTCGTGATATTCTCCAGTTTTATTCTTCTCGTGGCATGAGCAAAGAATGTAGACTGTAGATTAGGTTGTAGATTTTCCTCCGCTGAAATGGTAGTTGTTACTGGGTCAATTTTTTTTTTTCAAGACACCTTCATTACTCTTTTTTTCTCCAGCGAGTTGTCAGTCCAAGTCGTTTTGTTCTTTGTTTTTTTACGCAACTCACCCCATGTCCTCCCCCTCTTTTAACTGTAGTTCCCTCCTCCAAATGTGTCTTTTTGTTGTTGCTGCTGCTGCTGCTGTCGCTGTTATTGTTGTCTAACTTTATTTCTATGCATCTGTGGGTTACAGTGCAAAAGCCTTCTAGTCATATTGTTCTCAGGTGTTCTCAACGTGTGTCCTCTCCAACGCCAACATTTTTTTTCGTATTTCAGGATATGATATCTATAGCTCTTGAGAATTACCTTCTCATCTCAATTTACAAAGAAAAATTGCATTGAAAATGTTCCTTCTTTTATGAAATGTTGCCTTAATTTGATCTGTTCCATATCCAATACTGTATTAGACGCATCTTTCAGATAACACAGCTGAAGATTGACAACAACCCCTTTGCTAAAGGATTCCGTGACAGTGGCGGAGGAAAGAGAGAAAAAAAGTAAGTGAACTATTTTCTTTTTTCTTTATGTTTTCTGGGAGCCGCAGTTGTGTCTATCTATTTATCTATTGTCTTCTTCACTTTTACCGGGTTGCAGCCCAGTGTTGTGGTTTAAAATATTTGTTTTGTGCCTCTCGCGTGATCTGAGTGACAGTTTTCTGGATCTTCTGGCCGTATTCAGCTACTCCATCTATCCATTTTTTCCTGGGTCTTCCTCTGGCCTTTCTTCCCAATGTTCTACTGTAAAAGGCCTTATAGACAATCTGATCCGGTTGCATTCTTACTAAATGACCAAACCACTTCATTCTCTGTTTTTCAATATGTTCCATGCATGCTCTTGTTCCAACTTTGTCTCTAATGCTGACGTTTGTGACTCTGTCTCTTCGTGTATTGTTGGTGTATTGGTGTGTAGCGACTAGAAACTCGCGTTTAGAGAGAAGGAGGAGGGGGGGGGGGGGTGGTAAATATGACCTTGGCTCTCAATTGCCGATTCTTCTTATTCTCTAATCATCTCGCTGATACCAGGTTGTGGCCCAGTGTCGTGGTTTTCTGTATTTGTCTTGCGCTTCTCAAATCGATTGGCTGAAGGATTTTTTTTTTTTTATTTTCTTTGCAGGTTTCGGCTACACCATTTATCGAGTGCCGAGTGGTCCATTATATGTACTATGTAGCCCTAGATGCCTAATACGCCTGAATTCGGTGAAAAGAGTCCGTTATCTTTTCTGGTACGAAAAAACCCGCACTACGTTTTTTGGTAAATTTTTAAAAGTAAAAACAAATTACAGACCATTTTTTTCCTAATGCCATCCGGCATATAATGCTAGAATCTCGTATTTGTAGACCAATCGGCGCTCGGTATTTGATGTGGTCAACATCAAGCTGGACGCCTCCCCCTCCCCCTGCCTCCCCCCCCCCCCCCCCTTTAACCCCTCAATGACATTGCCTGCTCCAAGTGTGACAATAATATCTTGAGGTGAAAACACATACCAGTAATATTTTGAGCTGAAAAAGCTGAACCTTTCAAGCAAGTCAGTTTAACCCCCCCCCCCCCCCCCCCCCCCCCCCCCCCCCCCCCCGTTTTCCCCCTCTAACTTTTAAGGTCGCCGGGATGAAAGGAGTTAATTACTCGATGGGCAGTGGCATTAAACGCTGCCTAAAAATTAAAATAACAATATGCTTTTTGACTGCAATGGAGGGGGTGAAAAATTTACGCCAAAATAAAAATTGGAATCAAAACATGTTAGGCAATAAAGGTATATAAACTTATTAAATCTAATAAGATCTCCAGAAATAACTATAAATCTAAGTTCTGTTTTGAAGCTTATTCATATATTTATGAATGGGATAATTAGGTCTTTTTTTAGAGGGCCAACGGAACGACCGGCACCCACCTAAGAGACTGGATTGTCCACGTGGCTACCATACTTGGTACACATTTTAGAGGGCCGGTAACTGTTTTCTATTATACATCCAATTTCTGTGAGGTAACTGATGTCCATAACACAGCCAATTTCTATAAGGCAGTGGCTCTGAACCTTTCTAATGCAGCGACTCTTTAATACAGTTCCCCTCTGTTGTGGCGACCCCTAGACAATTATGTTCTTTCATAACGTCAATGAATATGTGTTTTCCGATGGTCTTAGGCGACCCATGTTAAAAGTTCGTTCTACCGAAAATAAAAGGTCGCAACCCGCAGGTTGAGAACCGCTGCTATAAGGCATTTATTTTCTATAAGACACCCATTTATTTAGTATTCTGTGCAATGCTTCTGTTATGTTGACTTCTTCTTCTGCGAAAGGCGTTGGTGGCTAGATGTCCGCCTACTGATCGGAAGGTCGTATGTTCGCGCCCTGACGGAGCCTGATCTTTTTTTTTTTTTGTCAAAAATGAAAGCGACTCCGAGGTCGACCCAGCCTTAAGTGCAGTCCCAGGAAGTAAAAGAGGCCGGCGTGATGCTGACCACTAATCCACCAAGTGCCGATTGGTCTATAAAAATTTAGGTCCAGCCCTATATTCCCAATTCACCCGATGACGTGGAAAAAGGGACCTTTTACTGCGCTTCTTCTTCTTCTCCGTTCTGCCCTCAACATTGTGATGGACACACGAGATCTGCGCCCTTTGACACAAAACACCCGATTTCAGCAACACCCTAATTAGTCGTCTTTTACAAAGGCTACTATCATAAGTAATAATCTGCCATGACAAAAAGCACTCAACTCGAGTTTATGCCATATTGACAGAACGTCTCTTTCTATAAATGCCAACACATCTCGGTTTGTGAATCATCCAGAGGAAACCTTAGAGCAGTAAAACAAAGAGTCATCCTTTACAGGACATTAAAGAACCAACCCCAGCATTTTTTGGCTGTTGTGGTTTTTCCAGCAAAAATTAAATCCAGTAGCTTGCCATTGCCTCTGGACGGTCGGCTTCTCGATACCCCTGTCGAAACCAAAGCAAGTAGCAAGGCCTGAGGCTGGGATCGAACCCGGCATTTTTCGCAACGCCTATGCCACAGACGCCGACATGACATGAAGTGAATTAGGTATATGATGCTAGTGAGACAATCCCTACTATTACTGGCTATTAATCCAACAAAACTGTCTTCTCGACAAGCCAGCTCATTGATCATCTTTAACTCTGAACGCTGCATGAGTTATCTGTCAGTTAATAAAGTTGAGCACCATCTTCCTCGCCTTCTGGCACATAGGGTTAGACCTATGTTTTTAGAACGGCACTCGGTAAGTAATGTATACAGCATCACGGCTGCTGCCTTTACTTCCCATAACTTTTTAAAACATAGGGCTAGACCTATATTTTGTTGATCATCACTCGGTGGGTTATATGGTCAACATTTACGTCGGCTGCCTTTACTTCCCAGAACTTTACTTGATACCCATCTAAGGCTGGGTCGACCTAGGAGCCAAGGTCATTTTGGAAAAAGTCCGACTCCGTCACGACCTAAACCCACCCCGTTCGGATCCTCAGTCGAGACGTCTAACCATAATACCACTTCTGCTCGCGTCTGTTAGCAGACCAGAAATTTAATCGGAACATTTCTATTTGCGCTACCAACAGAGCTGAATATTTGTTAATTGACCTTTGTCCCCGCGAGGAAAATAACCCCCATTTTTATTCTCTACTAGGAGCCGGTCATTGTGCCCTGCACGCCCTTAAACAGATTGGGCAAAGAACATGAGATAGTGCCCTTAAGTTTAATAATACCACACTGCTTTCTGTCAGTCAACCACGTGACAAAACAGCCAAATGAACAGCGTCCGTTTTCTCGAGATGGCCGATTCAGTCATCACTCGGAGCCTTTTGAAACTTGTTTAACCCTCGTTTCCGGAATGGGATGTTTTCAGATGAGCTCAGAGGAACTCGGGTTGGAAAATTACGACCTCTGAAACAAGATGAAAGGACCCTAGTTGTAAATGAATTGCGAAGGAAGCGTTCCTAAGTTGATTACACTAACGGCAGATTTCCAGAAGATGGTGTCGTAATCACTGACGGTTGCCCCAAAGCTCATCAAGACGTTTTGAGGGCATCGCGTGGTGGCCTTCAAATTAGATCAGTAGTCATAGTGGGCGTTCAAACAAACAGAGCACCGCATCACACTAGCGAAAGAATGGCGCCATAATGAACGCGTGTTGCGCACCACGATGCGCTTTCGTATAGTGCCACGAAATAAATGACTGCACGAAATAAATGACTGAAGTTGTAATCTTCATTCCTTTTCGACTGGTTTTCTTTCTTTCTTTCTTTTCTTCAATCTTCAAAAAGCTACCATAAATTAATTAATTACGTCTTTCTTAGGATGTTATTTTTTGTTATTTAAAGCCCCACTCTGGCTTTTGCCAGGGGCCTCAATATAGGCAGGTCATCATTATGGCCAAATGTCTGAACGCGGTTTCTGGGACCTCTCCACGGTGATCCTCATCCGCATGGTGGCACTTTGTGTCATCGGGTGTTTATTGCTTGTGTGATGTCCTGGTGGGGTAAAAAGCCAATCCAATCACACAGGAGATGTAATTCTAGGGGACACAATCTAGTATGATAAACGTTACCCACTCAGACACAGACAAAATATCATTTATAGAATTGCAGTAGAAAATATCTCTAGTAAATATTTTGTGACATTTGGTTCATCTTCTTCCTCTTTTACATTCTTCTTCTCCAGCACCTCCTTCAGCTCCTCCTCTTTAATTTCTGTTCCCTCCTCCTTCTGCTTCTCCTCCTCCCCCTTCATCATCAGCATTACAATCAGCATCAGCGTCATCATCATCATCATCATCATCAACAACATCATAGCCATTCTCTTTATTATCATATTATTATTCTTTATCCTCTTCTTCTTCTTCTTCTTCTTCTTCTTCTTCTTCTTCTTCTTCTTCTTCTTCTTCTTCTTCTTCTTCTTCTTCTTCTTCTTCTTCTTCTTCTTCTTCTTCCTCTTCTTCTTCTTCAAATTTTCCTCCTCTTCCTTCACCTCATACTCCTCTTTGTCTTATTATTATTATTATTATTATTATTATTATTATTATTATTATTCTTTTCTTACTCTTTTTTATTCTTTATCTTCTTTTTAAAAAATATATTATTACTAGCATTAAATACCAGTATAATCGAATTCATTAATCTTGTACAATACCCCTTGGCGCCGACTTCATACAACAAATAACCAGCTCCATGCACTCCAGCACATTTTCTCATACACCAACGGAAAGACGACAAATTGACACACCCACCCAGGGCAGAAACATGTCACATTTATACTAGGGCGAAACACGTAAATAAATTAAATTTTCCGAATCCAGTAGTTAATGAGTTCATGGGCGTTCCAAGATAATAGTGCCGAGTTTGGTCCCTAGATAATAGTGTGAGTTTGGTCCCTAGATGTGGCCGATTCGTTGATTTTGCTTCTACCGTACAGCTCTGGGGGTCAAACACTAAATGAACACATAATATGATTAGGGAATTCGACGAAAGACATGGAACGACGGACATAAAAACAAACGAATGTTTATACAAGTCTTTAGCAAAGGAGAAAGGTAAAAAAATGAGTTCTACACCAACTGAAGCATGCACTGGATGTAGCAGGAATCGTATTTGTGCCTCTACCATAAGGCTGGAGACAAGCAACTCAATGATAATAAAATATGATCAGGAAGATTGACGGGAAAAAAACGAACGATGGGCAAAAATAATTGTACATTTCTATAAGTTTTCACAAGGACAAATGAAAATGTTTCCTACACCATACACACACAAATTAATGTATTAAAAGCAGTAATACGGCCTATCTATAGAGTGTATTTACAGGGTAACAAAATAAGGTATACTGGGGTCCTTATTATACAGTATATAGTTTACACATAATGAACTGAAAATTAGAGCTGTACATAATAAGTAAAACTGGCTGTCACCCAAAAATAACAATAAATTATGAAAAAATTGAAAATGTCTCAAACTTTGAATATCTAGGCTCTATAATAAACAGCGTTGGAGACTGTTTGACAGAAATTAAAAGGAGGATGACCATAGCAATGCAAAGATTTAACAGCCTTAAAAGTCTATGGTTAAGCACCAGCAGGGAGATAAAAATTAGAATTTTGAGAGCATGCATCTTCCCTGTGGCTACATACGGATGTGAGTCGTGGACTATCTTTCAGTCCTTAAGAGAGTGAATGGGGACTTTTGAGCAGAAATACTGTAGAAAGATTCTCAGAATATCTTGGACAAAGAAGAGGAGAAATACTGACATCTTGAAAGATCTGAACATCAAGGAAGATTGGCTAATAAACAGCATCCTGTCTCGAAAGCTGAAATTTGGGGCATATCAAGCGCCACGACGGATTGGGAAAAATGATGACAGAAGGCAGGGTACCAGGAAGGAGGAGCAGGGGCCAACCGACACGAAGATAGGTACAGGATATAAGTGACTCCTTGAGTACGAAAGTAAATGAGGCGGGAAAACTGGTGAGAGACAGAATTTCTTTTAGGCAGACTCTGATGACAGCGACGTTCTGCAAAGGACCTGCTACATGATGATGATGATGATTCAGAGGCGTTTAAGATAAATACTATTCATATTCGGCCCCACCGCAAGTATTCGGCCGAATACCGAATAGTTATTAGGTCGACTATGCGGCCCCGAAGCGACTACAAAGCGAATATTTAGTACAGCTCTACTAGAAATATCCCTGGTAGAAAAGGCAGATACAGATCAAAGAAAATTATGGTAGATGGCTTAAGACAGTGGCATAGAGGAATATCATCAGTAGAATAGATCTAGAACACTAAAGACCGAGATATGTGGAGATGCATAAAGACCTACGCCAGCTGGCACAGCACTTGATGATGATGATCATAATGACCTAACTAAAAAAAGGCGAAGCCTTATGTTACATCTTTGAGTCTTACTAAGAAATTTTGGATCCATCAAAGTTGCAATCAGAAAAGGAGAAATGGATCACCACAGTCTGGTGAGAGCGATGCAGGAGAGGGGGGGGGGGGTGACAAGGGGTTCTGGTCGATACTCGACGCTCAGAGGAAAGGCGAGACGACCGTATGATCAGAATTCTGTTGGCACCATTGGTATTGGAACTCTACGCTGGCTGCTGAAGATGGAGACGGAGCGCTTATGGGAATGATCCGAATGCTATGATGTCGGTTTTGGAATCAACCTAACTCAACTCTACATTAACATATAATGAAGCATAACAGAGATTTTTCAAGTATCTAGAAATCATTTGTCTCCTTACTATGGAAATCGTAACCCTTCGGCATTGATTCTATGATAGATACCGTAAATCTGGGAGAAATATGCTTTTCTGCCTACCCCCGGGCGAGAACCCGGACCACATGGAGTTCGTCACCAGGTCGCCGCGAAGTCAGGTTTCACTAACTACGCTAGCGAGCCGGGCATAACAGAGAGACAAAACTACATACCAAAATGGCTGCAAGGAAATAGACCAACCAACACTTGGTGTCACTTACTAGAAAGATAAGGTCAGTGACAGAGGCGAATAGAGGCGGGTGATATCTGCAGCAATGAAACTCAAGGGTTCTACATACTCAAGAGGAAGAAGAGAAGTGGATTAAGTAGCGTAGACACCTCTCAGTAGTCACTTCTCAGTCCACACAGTGCTCATGCGCATAGTGCGTGTCAAAAGTAGTACACTCACATTTCAACAAATATCTCGAAAACTTCCATATGGAACAAGACAAATTGTTGTATGGGGCCTTAGGTTTCGCATGTCCTTCATCGTCATCATCATCATCATCATCATAAACCAATTCTGCTGTTAAACGCCGTTGGGAGGAATAATTTGAGGTCCAGTGCACGTTGGCTGCCACTGGCTATTGTCATGCCGTGAAAGCGTAGAGTGTCTTTAATGTTGTCGATCCATATTTTCCGCGACCGTCCTCTTGCTCTTGTTGCTGATATTCTGAGATGTAGTGCTTGTGATGGGATTTGATCTTGCGGCATTCCAACAAAAAAACCAAACCACTTAATCTGCTGTTTCTCGATGAATCTAGTACAAGGTGTCGTTCCCACAATTTGCCTGATAATTTCATTATTCACTCGATCTTGGATGGTTAGGTAGGCTGCTTTTCTCAGGCACCTTATGATTCTGTAATTTACAGATGCACAGATTTTGTCATTTTCTTAAAGCAGCGAATATCTTTGATCTTTGTTTGACCAATAATTTGTGACCCCTTGCTAGTATAATTTACATTAAAGGACGCATGCTTGCAGCTTGTTTCTGAAATCAGTTTACATGTGTGACAATGTGTGGTGATTATTTTAATAGCCGACTCCGCATACAATGACAAATTGTGTTCATCTTACTCACGGGAGGCAAATCCTGGAGATGGCTCTTTGAGAGTGAAATGCCTATGATACGCGTGCCATTTAAGGTTTTAAACAGTTTAAGTTAACTAATTATAAATATACTGTTTTGCTTTGAATCGATGTCTGTTTTTTCATATACTGGAAAAAAAGAAAAAATGAAAACTGTATGCTAGTTTACATGTTTTTTTTTTTTTTTTAAATTCTGACAAGGAAGTGATTATTAATACGTCATATGCCAAATTTTAACACCTTTCATATTATATCATATAAGATGCAGCCGGAAGGAGGGGGTGTGACGAGGGATGCAATTGTGTGGGAATTTTTTTTTTTAAACCCCTCATCCTGGCTGTTGCTTGGGATACTAATATAACTTAACGGGACCTCTCCACGGGTGATCTTCATCCGCATGGTGGCACCTTGTGTCACCGGGTGTTTATCGCTCTCTGTGATGTCCTGGTAGGGTAAAATTTACTTACTTACTTACCTAACACAGAATGGTTACAGAGTTGAGATTTTTAAATTTCGGCACGATTTTTGAGACGGACTAAAGTGCGGCTCCATAACGAAAGCTTGTTTGCTCAATTTACACAAAGTTCCTGTTGTGAGGAACTTAGCTAATATATATTCAATTGCTCATTATGCGCTGATTTCATACACAGTGAAATTAACTCATGTCCAATGACTTGCTCAGTATACACAGGCGCTAGAACCTAGAGGTTAAAGCCGCTTGTTGGCGCCCGCCCCTTACACAGTAATGTTGTAACAAGGCTAAGCAGCCTTTTCACATTCTCATTTGTGTTTATTTATCATTTTCAAATAATTCTAACGTGTTATTTACCATTCGGGACATTGTTAATGGTATTGTTATTGCACTATTTCTGTTATACTATGATTAATTATTTTAATAATATTATGGTCTTAAACTGAGATTATGTCCTTTGGATCAACTCCCCCCCCCCCCCCTCAAAACAATGCTTTAATGGCGTCGGCGCACCTGTAGTATAATCACGTAACGCAATGGTTCTCAAACTTCCTAATTTCGTGACCCTTTAATACAGTTGCTCATGTTGTGTCGAACCTTTAATGCAGTTCCTCATGTTGTGGCGATCCTTTAATACAATTCCTCATGACGTGGCGATCCTTTAATACAATTCCTCATGTTGTGGCCACCCTTTAATACAATTCCTCATGTTGTGGCGACCCTTTAATACAGTTGCTCATGTTGTGGCGACCCTTTAATACAGTTGCTCATGTTGTGTCGAACCTTTAATACAGTTCATCATGTTGTGTCGAACCTTTAATAGAGTTCCTTATGTTGTGTCGAACCTTTAATACAGTTCCTCATGTTGTGGCAACCCTTTAATACACTTCCTCATGTTGTGTCGAACCTTTAATACAGTTCCTCATGTTGTGGCGACCTTTTAATACACTTCCTCATGTTGTGTCGAACCTTTAATACAGTTCCTCATGTTGTGGCGACCCTTTAATACAGTTCCTCATGTTGTGAGGACCCCTAACTCTAAAATTATTTTCGTCGCTACTTCATAACTTCAAAATATATGTGCTTTGTGATGGTCTTTGGCGACCCCTGGAAAAAGGTCGGTCGATCTAAAAAGGGGTCGCGATCCATAGGTTGAGAACCACTGATCTAACGTATAGTACCCTGCTCCGTACAGTAATGTTCAGATTTTCTGTTGTAACAAATGAACACATGATGATGTCTTGCTGCAATGTATGTAAAGTTCACGTATAGTTTTTGGGATGTTGCAGGCGCCTAGCCAGTCACGCCTCAGACGAGTGCAGCTCGTCAAAGAAGTCACGAATCGAAGACGCTGACATCAGCACCGACGAAGAGGTTGGCCCGAGTGCTGCCGGGAGAGGCGGCGGCAACGACGACACATCACCGCCCCAGAGTCCCGGCCGGATTGTCGTAGATGAGGACGATGACCTGGTGCAGGTGACGAGCAGGCACGATGATGAGGATGGCGACGATGACAGCGATGTGGAGGTGGACAAATCTAGGGATGGTGGTTGTGAAGAAGAACGTGAATGCCGTGGGAATACTCGGGTTAATGTTTGTAATGATGACGCCACTGTTCATTCTAGTAAGTCGTATACTGTATTGTTACTAATTTTCGTAATGATGTCCTTTTCTTCCTCATCCCACTTCTTCTTCTTCTTCTTCTTCTTCTTCTTCTTCTTCTTCTTCTTCTTCTTCTTCTTCTTCTTCTTCTTCTTCTTCTTCTTCTTCTGCTTCTGCTTCTGCTGCTGCTTCTTCTTCTTCTTCTTCTTCTTCTTCTTCTTCTTCTTCTTCTTCTTCTTCTTCTTCTTCTTCTTCTTCTTCTTCTTCTTCTTCTTCTTCTTCTTCTTCTTCTTCTTCTTCTTCTTCTTCTTCTTCTTCTTTCTTATTTTTTTCTTCTCTTCTTCTTCTTCTTCTTCTTCTTCTTTTTCTTCTTTTTCTTCTTCCTCTTCTTCTTGGGTTCTGTATTTCCTTATGGGATCATAAAACCTCAACCAAAAGGCACTAAGACGTTCTTCTCATCACGATGTCTTTCTTATATTATTCAGTTCAGTCACAAATACTCCTCGGTATGAATGCATGTGCGGGCGTGCGCATGTGTTTTAATTTTTTTCTTTTAACTTGTACATATTGTCACATCCATAGACTTCAGCAAATTGTCACATTCTTTAACATCCACACATTGTCACATTCTTTAACATCCACACATTGTCACATTCTTTAACAACCACACATTGTCACATTCTTTAGAATCCACATTTTGTCACATTCTTAGACTTCCACCTGTTGTCACATTCCTAGACTTTCACATATTGTTATATTCTTTTACATCCACATTTTGTCATTTTCTTTACCATCCACATATTTTCAGATTCTTTGACATCCACATATTGTTACATTTTTAGACTTCCACATGTTGTCACATTCCTAGACTTCCACATATTGTCACAATCTTTCACATCCACACATTGTCACGTTCGTTGAATTTCATATATTGCCTCATTATTTGACTTCCACATATGCCGAACTCTTCCAGTACCACGCTACAGTTTCATCAGCTCTGCCGATCTCAGGAACTACCAGTCAGTAATCAGTCGGTACATGGTCATGAAGAAGTTCAAACAATAACAGGCATGTCAAACTGGCGATCCGCGGGCCATATGCAGCCCTTTGCAAGCACAAAGGACATATTCTGCGACAATTATTGTTGAAAGACTGCAATTTGGCGTCGTGTCTGGCCCTCATGCAGACACAAATATGACCAATATAGCCCTCATTCAGACACAAATATGACCCATAGGGCCCTCATGGAGACACAAATATGACCCAAATGGCCCTCATTCAGACACAAATATGATCCATATGGCCCTCATGCAAATACAAATATGTCCCATGTGGCCCTCATAAAGACACAGTATGACCCATGTGGCCCTCATAAAGACACAGTATGACCCACGTGGCCCTCATAAAGACACAGTATGTCCCATGTGGCCCTCATAAAGACACAGTATGACCCACGTGGCCCTCATAAAGACACAGTATGACCCACGTGGCCCTCATAAAGACACAGTATGACCCACGTGGCCCTCATAAAGACACAGTATGACCCACGTGGCCCTCATAAAGACACAGTATGACCCATGTGGCCCTCATAAAGACACAGTATGACCCATGTGGCCCTCATAAAGACACAATATGACCCATGTGGCCCTCATTAAGACACAATATGACCCACGTGACCCTCATAAAGACACAGTATGACCCACGTGACCCTCATAAAGACACAGTATGACCCATGTGGCCCTCATAAAGACACAGTATGACCCATGTGGCCCTCATAAAGACACAGTATGACCCATATGGCCCACATGAAGACACAAATATGACCCATATGGCCCACATGAAGACACAAATATGACCCATATGGCCCACATGAAGACACAAATATGACCCAAATGGCCCACATGAAGACACAAATATGACCCAAATGGCCCACATGAAGACACAAATATGACCCAAATGGCCCACATAAAGACACAAATATGACCCAAATGGCCCACATGAAGACACAAATATGACAAAGTAAAGGCGGCTGGTGTTATGTTGACCACATCACCCACTGAGAACAGTTTGGTCTATTCCAGCTTCACATGAGTACCAGTCTGTGTCCGGGAAAGTAAAGGCGGCCGGTGTGTAGTTGACAACATCACACACATAATGCCATTTGGTCTGAAAACTGTGCCTAGCATTACGTGACCGTACACCATCTCCGTTTTTAAATATTCTAAGTCGATTTAGAAATGACAGATGTAGATATGAATCCTTTTGTTATGTCTCCAGGACAGAGTCCTAGAAGCCAAGATCAACTGATGAACCTTCACATGGAGCCAGACAGTACAGGGAATCCTTTCACACCTGAGGACAGCTACGAGCAAGGCAAACCTGTCGCTGTAGTAGGTTCTGTTGCGCCAGCCCAGGAGACCATTGGAAATATATCGCCAAAAAGCAAGTCACCAATAGATCTTGTGTTTGCCGCTAAACGAGACTCTGTAGAAAGGGATAATAGCAAATGTACTTCTCTAATACGTGAAAGACATAATGAGAATATTCGTGAGCGGGGGTGTGAGTGGAAAAGAGAATTAGAGGATAGCATTGACGTCTGTGATTCGGCAGTTTCTGAACTTATGCATTCTGACACAGTAGAGGGTAAAAATAATGATACTCCGAGATGCAGTCCGTTATCATTTGAAGGCACAACCAGCTCTTGCAGAAGTGTCGATTCTGTGCAGCGAAATATTGAGCCTTCGTCCCCTGATATACATGAAAGCAGTGCGTTTAGCACATCAGCAACCGACAGACACATGTCTCCGTCACTGGAAAGGCTTGAAGCTTCTGCTAACTTAGGACTTTCAGATGCCCCAATTCCATTACATTTACAGTGTGGCGTTATTCGGGGTTTTCCATACTCGGGTATTAGTAACGTCGGTGAAATGTTTAATCCTAACTTGTTTTCTTCCGTTTCTCCATTTCCTCTGTCGTCAACGTATCCTTTCCCGTTTCCGTTTCCGGGTGCTAGCAACCAGGATGTGAGTGTACTGGAAACCGAAGGACAAAGAAGGCGGCTTCCCTTCTGTTTGCCGTTTCGTAACTTCCCACCTTTCCTAGGGGAATTGGCGAACGCGACATCCTTGGAGTCCGCATTGTACCCGAACGGAAATGTCTGGAACTTGTTCAACACTAATCCAACAAAGTATGCGCATCTTCCGTACCCATATTTTCCCACGGGCACTCCCCCAGGTGCTATAGCAGCAGCCGCCGCAGCAAAAGCAGCAGCAGACGCTTCAGCTTCATCAAGCTCAGGAATCGCTGACGTGAAAATGGCAGATGAGGTAGTTTCACCGTTTTCTCGAATTGGTGATCAGATTTCCAAAGGGTCGTGCTTACCGATAAAGGACACGTCAAATCCACCATCATTGTTACTACACTCGCAACGATCTCGGTTAATGAATCTTCATCTTAAAGATTCATATTACACACATTCTAACCATAATACAGATTCTCAGCATGCTTTATACCCTAGGTGTCCTAACGGTAACAACAATAGTCGGGGCACACACTGTGATCAGTCCACAATTCCTCGAAGTCTTCTCTGGGGACCCGAGGCGACGTCGATGTTGAAATCTAGCTCGAGTTATTCCGGTTCAGAAACTAGGGACAGACATGCAAACCATGCCTTTGCTGCGACAAGAAAGGAAGACGGAATCAAAACACAAAGGCCCGATCATAGCATCTCCGTAAATGACAATCAAGCTGCATTTGAAGAAGGAACAGTGTATAGAAGAAAGCTATTTGAGAAACGTTCTCAAGATATTAAGGTAGAACCCAGTAAACGAGCTTACGATATCTCCACTCTTATCAAAGCAGAGGTTTCTTCCAAATTTTCTGAAGGAGAGTTCAAGCACCAGACAACAGACTATGCATTTCGACAAAGTGAACCTCACATGAACGATAAACAGCGCTGCTTGTACCGACTGCAAGACAGTTCTTCATTCTCGCACATCAACCACCAGCAACTGAAGCTATCGTCACTTCATCAACATCAGCACTACCACCACCACTACTACCGCCATCAGATGATGCTAGCCGCAGAGAGCACCGCAATGAAGTCTCTGAATGAGCCGCCATCGCCTCCTTTCGTAAACTCATCATCATCATCCTCTCACTCCTCGTTAGCAGCAACAACCGCATGTCAGACCTACTGTACCCAGCCTGAAAAGAGTCCTGCAGCACACAGTCCAACGAAAACCCCAACAAACATACAGCAGATTCCGAAGAGTATACAGCACACGGGGTCGGATACAAGGTCCCGTGCAGCTGATAGTCAGATAAGGAACATTCAGCTCATGTTTCATGATCTTAAACCGAACAGTCAGCATCGCTAGCAGCCGCTATCCTTTCCATGTGATGGACTTTCAAAGTCTACAAACTCATCTTATTCATGAAATATCCAGTTAGCCAAATAAATGTATACACAGTAATCGCCCAACAGTGAATAGTATCGGCATGTGCGATATTTGCAGTCTTTGAATACATTAGGGTAGCAATGTGTTGCGGTGGAGTTTTGTTTAAAAAAAAAAAACCTGTATAAACATCTTGATACTAAATTTATTCAGATACGAAGCGATTCATATAAATAACAAGTGATGTATGACGTGACTACAGGTGCTCAAAGTTATTTTTAGTATCCAGACGCCATGTGTTGTTAACCCTTAGGTTCGGTATAATGGATATGGCAACCCTTCGGCCTTGACTCCATGATAAATACCGCAAATCTGGAAGAAATGTGGCTTTTCTGCCTACCCCCGGGCGTGAACCCGGACCACAAGGAGTTATCCACCCGGTCACCGCGCAGTCCGGTTTAGCCAACTACGCTAGCGAGCCGGGCAAAGTTATTTTCATTAACCTCCAGACACTTTTCATAACCATGATACAACACAAAGCTACCGTAATTCCATCTGAATATGGCAGAGTATGACACCTAATGATAAGTTTTTGAGGCAAGTAGCCTCTAGGAAAATGTGTGTG